CTTTATTATTCTGTTCCCAAAGTTCTCTGCCTTTCGCTTTCTCTATAGCTTTCTTCATTCGCCTTTCCTTTCGACTTTCATTTCGCAATGCGAAATACTTTTCTCGAAAGTCAATCAAATTCGTAGAAGTTGTATCATCTGATTCCTAACGGAGAAAATAAGAACTCAATCAAATTAATTCTTTATTCAATTACAGTAGTAGGTATTATACTTATATATGTCCGTACTCACTTTCAAGTTTTTTATTTTTTGGTAAGTCAATAATCTACGGCTGGTATAATTACTAAGTACCTGTTCCGAATTAGCTACTAATTCTAGGCATGGATGTGTTGGTAGCTGTTTTTCTGAATACTGATCCCTGAAAAATAATTACTCAGATATTATTGAATAGCATGAATGATAAGCATTAATCTTGTACTGTATACTTCATATTTTTCATTTTTGTCGTAAGAATTGAAAAACTACTTGTTTTCCAAATTAAACATTATCTGAGATTATTAATACAGATAGCAACTATAGTATAAATGTATGTGATAATAATTCTATAATAATTTTGTTAATTATTTTTCTGACTGTCAATACGTGAGACGGATTAATTTAATGATTTTTAACAATATTTGGTTAAAAGGTAGCAAGTTTTAGCTTTAAGTCGCTTAGGAATTCCACATTCAACTTATATATTTTCAATCGACTCCCGAATTGACGATCTTTGCTCCATATGCATGCCCGAAAAACACACGTTTTCACATACTTTCTGCACTATGAAAACTAATTTCTTGCTATGTACTGATTAAAACTTAGTATTAGTTACCTGAACAAAGGAAACCAACAAACTAGTCTGCCATTTATCTTAAGATGTTGAGCTGCAAACGTTAATAAATCGTTGTACATTTGGGTCAAATCGTATCCAATTTTCGATGGTATATGAGAAGATGCTTGATGTTCTTCAATTATTGGATTTACTTTAGTTGTACCTATCCTTTCTGTTGCTTCTCTGATACCATAAGGAGCTAATAAGAAGAATTAGATTAAGGATAATTAATAAGAGGACTTAGATTTATTATAAAAATTATAGTGTAATAATTAGATATATAATGCGGATATTTATGCAAATTCCTATTTTTATAAGTAAAATTAAAGTAACGAAATGCATATAAACATGTCTTTACCTATTATATAATACATTTTACTTTTAGTACTTCGTACACCTGATCTTCTTTTTACACGGTATTTGTTTACACAAAATTACGTGGTTTCTATTAACATGATTTATTTAGAGTTGTACGATTTTTTTAAAATGATTTATTCATGGTTACACGATTTTTTTTTTTAAATTATTTTCTCACAGTTACGTGAGTTTTAAAAATTGATCAGGCGCACAAGTAGAGAATATACCAAAGTACAATACTTCGAATTTGATGAAATTTGGCAGAGACATAGTTCTCATAAAAATATTTGACGTGTATTCTTTTTATCGGCAACTGTGAACATTGAAGGGACAAAATCAGCCTTCAAAGTTGGCATTGTTTTATATATTTTGACATATATTCCGAAAAGTATGAGGCCTAAACACATGATGAATTTTGTGCTTTTAAACAGCAAATTTGAGTACGCAAATGGATTCACAAAAAGTCCACTTGTATAAGTAATATGTTAAAAAATGTTACTTTTTGTGAATTTTTCTAATTAACCATACGAAACCATTAATTTTCTCCTACGGTTCTTTTACTCTGTACGCTTTTACCGTGCAAAACGAGGCTCAGATGTATTTATTTATATATTATTGCATACCGTGTTTCTTTGAATTATTGAAAATTCCCGTAAACGCATAGACATCCGCAGTCTAATAATAATTATACTCACGATCAGTAATTATAGCATCTATACACATATCAGAGCGCCACAAGGGGTAAGAAAAGTCAGCTACTACAACGTCAATATAATATGATCTTTTTCCATATTGACTCATATTCGCGGCAATACTTTCATCCTTTTCCCTAATCTGATGAACAATACGTTAAAAAGTTTCATTGGTCAGCATCGTGAAGAACGACTGATAAAAAAATTAAATAGTTTTACCTTTTGTGATATCCTGCTAGGTCTTGTACGTCCATGAAGCATTAAGAAATCTATATCAGTTCCTAACGTATATCCACCGAAGTGAGAAGCAGCGACTAACAAAGATCCAGTGCCAACAAATGGATCAAGGATGATGTCTCCCTTCTGAACTTGAGCCTGATTAGCCATTATCAACGACAATTGAGGATCCATGGACGTGTTACCTATGAATTTTCTTGTTTTCAGTGACAACTTCCTAATTAAATCCCTTTGTCCAGTTGTAATCTGAAAACACATTATAATACAAATTATACAATAATCATGTTCTTGTTTGATTCTCTAATAAAAGGAATTCTAATATTTGAAGTGGAGTTATTTGGATGGTGGAGGTACAAGCAAAATATATTCGTTTAAGTTTAGAAAGATGCATGTACTAAATTATAAGAATCAAATAGGGATATGATTGGAGACAGAAAGATTGTTAAAATTTGAAGGAATAATTAGAATACTATAAAGTTACTCCAATACTATAAAGCTATTCTAGTTTGAAGTATGTTCGAATATTAATTAGGTTTGAAGAGGCAAAATGTAATAGAGTACACAAATATAATGTATGGTACACAATAACAAAATATCTTTCAAGAAAGGAAAAGGGTAATGATATAAATATGGTACAAATACTAATAGCAATAGCCAGGTGTGGTACTATGAAATCATACAATAGATACTGGTTAAACAATGGAAAAACAATTTGTAGAATATGTGAATGAAGATGGAGAACTTTGAAACAGTGGCTAGTAGATTGTGACTGTTTAGAAAGAGAATGCTCTTTTGTGGAAATATTAGAGAGAAAAAGGGAGCGACCAAATTAATTGAGAATGGTGGATAAGAAATTAAAAGAAGGATTTTCAAAATGTTCACTAGGTTTTATATCTATTATATAAGTTTAGTTGTTTATTCTATAATTTCAAAGGGTTTAAGCAAGTTATTTTCAGTAGGATTAAAAAAAATTAAGAAATGCAAAAAAAATTTCAGTTGTGCGAACGGTTGGAAGCAGATTAAGACAATTACAATTACAGTAGAATCGAGCACACACTATTTAAAATTGAATAACTTCGGGTCGAATAAGAATCGGACCAAACGATCAAAGTTTCTTTAAATAATTAGATAGATTACTTTACTAAATGATGTGAGCAAAAAGTTTCCAATAAGTCAAAATCGGTAGAATTCGTAAAAAGAAATGGAAGATAGCTTTTTTCGATTTTTTCATCTGGGTTGTAAACCAAAGATATAAACCAAATCCAATACTCTGGATTTTATCTATATTCATATAAACATAAAATTTAAAAACACCTACCCATCTACCAAAAAACAAATCGTAAGGTTTTTCAGGAATGTTATTAGGATTCAATCCATAAAATTCTATGTAACATAATGTTATTTCTGGATTATTCAACCTCACTGGCCCTTCCAATGGCAAGTAGCTGAAGGACTGTAATATATAATAACAGTTAGTACAATATAAAAAAATGTTGTGTATAACTTTGTAAAATTAGAGTAATTATGTATTCACCTCTATCTTGTTCACTTTCTCGCTTTGCGAAAAGTGTTTACAGAATGTTTCAACCACTACTTTAAAAGATTTCTGTGGCCCAAAATATTTTTTAATTTCTGCAACTGGATAATTTCTTAACTTACTATGTAAATCTTCCACTTTCTTACTGTTAGCCCATAACTCCAAACAGAAACGTATACAAACTGCTCTGCTCGCAATACTATGAGCCACGCTTTCTGATGGTAAATGAACTATCCAATAAGGCTTTAACAAAATGTTTCTAGCATAAATAACATTTATATTAAACCAAACTAAATAGATATTAGATAACAGAGTATTTCTACTTTCTTACTTGTTCTTTCAATCTTGGGTGAACATAAATATTTATACGAAGCATAGTCAGAATCGATTCCATCTCCTAAAAAGATAATTATTAAATATTTATAGAGACGTAAAACAATAATTAACAGACAGCAGATTTTATCCATTTACAGGAAAATTAGACTGCAAATATAAAGAATGTTTATCATGTTAAAAAATGTACAAAATATTAAGAGTTGAGTATAAAATACATAAACATGACTGAAAAAGATGAAAAATGAAAATGAAGAAAAATGATAAGAGATATCTACATAGAATGCATTTTTTTAACTGATGTCATGTTTTAGATAAAAATCTGCAATTTAATATCTAAATAAGGAATTTTAAAGTGACTCACAGCTGTACGAAAGTCAATGTGTTCTTGGGCAAACCAAAAAAGATACCTCTTCCATTGGTTACTCATTGTTATTGCCTTGCATTCACACAAACACTGCAAACGTGACTCGTCTTACATTATTTCAATTGTAATGATAAAATATAAAACGAGTATTATATTCATTTGGAAACTGATGTAACTTTTTCATGTGCTGTTTCAAGTAAGGTACGTTCAAAGAGAATAATTTAATTCGTTATGCACACATTTGTCTGATTACTTGAATTAACTTCCTCAACGTCAATAATAATAATAATAATTAATAGAACGATCTATGGATCAATCGGTCTGAACCATAGTCATGTAAACATGTTTGGATACGATCTTTCAGTGAGTCCAAAAAATCAATATGGTTATATAGCATAGTTGATATTGCGTGGTCCAGCCGTGAGGAATATAAAGACCAGTGACGTGTTGTAATTCCTTGGGGCCCCAGTCAAACGTGAATTTAAGGCCTGTCTACAGTGTCTGATTAATTTAAATTATTGAAGGAAATAGCTATGCGCCATGCGATATAGTTTTGGATAAAATTTCATGAAAAACGAAACAAGAGTATTGTAGTATTTGTTATAATTGTAGTCTTATTGGGTAAAGAACAGAACTTGGTTTACACCTTCAAAATATTGAATTTTTTTTCGCAATGCCTTCACACGCTAACGATTCATTTCACGCTTCATTACTAGACTGCAGATATTTTATGCATTATAATTATGCATTTATAAAAAGGTAAAAACGAATTTTCATTCCTTTTCGATCTCGTAATTATTCATAATAATTAGACTGCGAATTTTATGCATTTATAATCATAAAACACTTTTTTTTATACTAATACCATGATAAATAGTTTATTTTGCGTAAAAATCGGTAATCTATTTATACACTGTATATTACACACTGGCAATAATAGATGCTTGAGTCTATTCCAGCTTTGAAAGTAAATGATACACTATGTGTATTAGTATAATTTAGTAGACCTTGAAGTATTATTGTTATACATATTTTTACTGAATACTTTATATACTATATTACGTATGTAATTTTACAAGATCAATATTTAATATTGATGCCTAATATCGATTCGAAATTTTACTACTCTGCGTCCACGTCTATCATAAACAATTTTAAATTATTAAATTGGCTCTGTAATAGATTCACTTACATTCTGCCCGTGATGGTCCATTATAGTGTACATACAGATTTCATGCATTATAATCATATCTCTATGAATTCTTCATAAAAAGTTTCAGTATTTGAGTGTTTGATCAAGGAAAGAGATTGTTATCATGACGAAGTGGACACTTAATGGATATTCATGGTACGATTCAATGCAATACGGGGACGGCGTAAAAACAACCCCTCACAGTAACACCTAGAATAACAGATTCGAAAAAAGTTAGCGCCATTTTACTGTGCAAGCAAAAAAATTTACCCTTTGTTACACTGCATTAGATCATAAATGGTCCTCATGTATGCTATATTGTACTTACAGCTATAACGTCGGTGAGCATACGTCCTTTATTTAAGAGGACAATTCTTCGTTTCACTGCTTTGTCTTTCGGATATATTTTTTTGTTAAAATACCTACTTTGTTACTTATTTTATTATCAGGAATAGTAAACCGAATGCAAAAAATGCAATCCATATTCTTACACAATACTTAAAATTGTAACAATATTTGATATGCAATTCGTTCAAAATTATTATATACAATCAATTTATATTTGTTGTTAGAACTGTTATATAGAATTAATTTAAGATTATTATTAAAACTATTCTATTTCAAATTGTGATACCGAATCAATTTAAAATTGCTACCGTATATTTTAATGAAATAAATAAACAAGATTTGTTTCTTTTCGTTATGAGACAATTTTTGACCATTGTTCTCTTGAAAAAATATAGGCACATATCAGGTGCAACAGTTATCAATTTGATACGGACAGCAACAAGATTAGTATAAATAACAAAATCAGAAGCAGTATTATACTTATTATTCTGTATTATGCAATCTGTAGTACCTATTCTTATGTTTTTGATATCAATGCTAACTAATTGTAAGTATAGGAATAGAAAATTTTAAATCAAATTTGCATTATAAAGAATTTGTTACAGATATTAAAAAAGGATATAAAATACTGCAAATAGACGGTAAAGAAATGAATGTTACTTGCAAGTATCAGTTAGCACCTCAACAAAATTTACATTTAATGTATAAAAGAGCTTCCTGACTGAGTCAACGTCTAACAAAAGCTATCGTACAAAACTTGAAATTTACAAAGTAGTTTCCTATCATGTTTTAAGTGTCCGTTAAGAGAGGATTTTGCGAAATTCCTGCCCTGAGGATAGGAATGGAGTACAATGTGTTCTTTTTTGTTTTGCAACATCTCTTACAATTAAAATATGAAAGCTAATATTGGAGATATGAAACTGATTTTGACTCTAAAATGCTACTTTATAAGAAAACTGAAAACCATTTTCCGATTTTTTCGAAATTCGACATTTGAGAGTGAAAATAGAATAAAATACTTTCTTCCAACATGCAATACCTATTATTATGTATACAGGGTGTCCCACGTAACACTTCTCACGATATTTTAAGTACTTGCAATAATCTGACAAAAAAATATTTTCGACAAAGTTGACCAGTTTTCGATTGGCTATAGATTGCAAGAAAAAAAGTTGGAACGAAAATTTTTTTGCTATTGTCAAAGTCACCTTCATTCTTTTAAATGGAACTTTGTATGTTTTACTTATTAATATTATAACCCGTATTAAGACGAATTCAACGATCTAGATACCATGACCTTCGCAAAACACAAGTTATTATCACTCATTCAAGCAGGCTATAATTTTTTGTCAAAATTTTCATTTCTGTGCCTTCAAGGTCATCCGAAGGTCATGGTATCTAGGTCGATGATACGGGTTATAATATTATTAAGTCAAAAATACAAAGTGCCATTTAAAAGAATGAAGGTGACCTTGACAATGGCAAAAAAATTTTCTTTCCAACTTTTTTTCTTGCAATCTATAGACAATCGAAAACTGATTAACTTTTGTTAAAAATATCTTTTGTCAGATTATCGCAAGTACTTGAAAAGTCATGAGAAGTGTTACGTGGAACACCCTGTATAAGATTATGTTTTTAATATGAATGCTGGCTAAGTGCAGGAATAAAATATGTATATCGACATATAGGTACGTATAATTCGTACATGTATGTACATATACATAATAGAGAGATATAGGGAAAGAGAGGAAGGAATAGTCAAATACGAAATATTTTGATAAAAGGATGCGGAGAGGTAGATGGGCGTGGTGGAACATTTGGCACAAGCGCGACAAGAGGACATGAATTTACCTCTGCAATGCGACAAATACTAAATGGTTTGTGCTGCGAATTTCGTTCGCTTTTAGTGCACGTAAAATGCTTCCACCATTTTGAATAAAGTATTGAATTATGTATTTTATAGTTCTCTTTACGTCTATTCGTATACAAATATGTATATTTATATTTGTGTACGTGCAGAAAATGTTGTATATCTTAAGAGTTGTTGCTTTCGTCTCATTGTCGGTGTTTGCTAACTCATTGATAGCTGATTGAAGTACGTTTGAAATTGTATTATTCATATAAAACAGATTTTGACACGTCTGCTTCTCAAGCAGACAACAGTAATCGAAACGAAGAACTGAAATGTAATAAGGAGGAATGGGTTAATAACTATAAAGAAAGTGTAAGAAAACCCGAGGGTATGGGATCTTCGACTGCGTTTCCGACCACTTATCCCTGTTGACAACGCGGAGTGATAAGTCCCAAATGCCAGGCGTCCAAGGCCAAACCCTTTGTTAAGACAACAACGGAATGCCTGACTTTCCCTGGAAAAAAGCTCCTCGGGAAAGTTACTCACCGATCATGTGCACAGCGCGTGAGTTTGGAAATAAGGGAAATTGAGGTCGGGCACAAAAGATGTTTAACGAAGACACGGTTCATGTTGAGAATTTTTTCCGTGGAGGTGTTTGAGGTCATGTGAAGGTTATTATCATTATCTTAAACAAGAATTTATACAATACATGTATTTCTTCTTTCGTAACTTGGTAGTCGACATTAAGGCTAAAGAAATTTTTTTAGCTCCAAAATTGAAACGTTTCGGTGCACCGAATCAGTGTAACGTAGAAGACCTCCTCACTCGATCACGAGTGAGTTGAGTTGACCAACGTTGACACGAAACGAGAAATTATTCTCGTCTCACCAAATACAGTCCACTAATTGACAACGAATCGCAAATTTAATTTGCCGTTGTGTATTTTTCTGTTTACAGATCTCGCCGCTGAGGACAAGTACCACGAAATAGCAAACAATAATATTCTACTTTAATTTGAATCGAGATATTATTATTGTATACATTTGGGGACTATCGGGAATAAATACTCTTATAGGGGGATTTCGGAGTTTAAGGAACAAAGGTTCTGGGAAAACACAAATAATAATTTATTCATTTTCACATTTTTACGGCACATGGGAATGCATACAAAATCATCACGCTTTCGGATAAATACATATAGTTAGAGACGTCCGGAGGGTTCCTGTACTCTATTCTCGAGGCGACCGGCGGATGCTCCAGCCGTTCTTTCCTACGAAGAATGACCCAGGTTGAACCTCCGTACTCTTCTCTAATGCTAACTACACCTGGAGGGTGACCGGTGGTTATTCCAACCGTTCTCTCCTCTCCATGAGAGATTTCTATATCTACTGGGCGACCGGTGGATAGTCCGACCGTTCTCTCCCAAACGCTTAACCTATGCATTCTCAGGCGTCCGGGTGACGTCCCCTGTACTCTATTCCTGGTTTGGCGTCCGGCGGAATTTCCAGCCGTACTCTCCTCCAAGGAACGACCCAGGGTAGTCCCCGTACTTTCCTGGCTGTATCGGGTGTCCGAGAGCTAGGCTTCGTACTCTCGTGTATAACTACGCGTTGCTAACGACGCTGTTAATAAACAATCCGTGTCGTTAGGCCGGCGGTCCCCGCGGTTTTCGACAGATTTTCGCTAACGGGTGTTCATTAGTTTTCGTGGTCGTTACACTCTTTAAATTCCAAATTGAAATTATTTTCTATTTATTGAAATACATCCCTGTCTCAACCTTACTCCTCCTCGAATTGTCCGGACCCCGTTAGGTCTCCACCTAACAGTGTCGTTAGGTCCTAACATATCGGTTTTGGTTTTAGTCCTTCCGGAGCGATATTATATCGGTTCTATAACTCTGTTATTTTTCGGTCCTGTATTTCGGTCTGTATTTCGGTCCTACCGATACCTGTTACGTAATCTTGTAATCAACCTTTAATAGAGGCATGATAAACACGCGGCTTGCAGGGAGTTGTTTTGCGGCCCGCCAAGATTAATAATCAATACGTTTATTTAACTGTGGATAACTGGATCTGTTCGGTAGCACACATTGCGCGAACAACTATTTCCTACTTTAAAAAATAATAAAACTGCGGAAAGATGAAGATTATCAAACAGGATCGTGAAAGCAATTTTAAAAATAACTACAGCTCAACAAATTCAACCAAATTTTGAAAATTCGGTTAATGAAAAACGTTACTAAATTTCTTCAAGAAAAAGATTATATTACTCTATTTTAATAATGTTAAATTGAAAAAGGAAATTCTTTTACATACATATATATTTTATAATATGTTTATATTCTGTGTATTATTGTTGTGTATGTATTGATTTGTTTATAATAAAAACTATGCTTTATTTTTATTTCCATTTGTTTTTTTGTTTTGCGGCCCGTGATTTAATACATAATACTTAATATGGCCCTCGGTAGTTAACGAGCTTAAAATTCCTGCTTTAAGGTTACTTCAACTGGAATTTTTAATTTTCATGCAGCAGATATTAACACTAATTTACACATAAATTTAGGTTTTTTAGATAGGTTTACACATAAATTTTTCGATCGTTAAGCAAAATATGTATGTACTTATTTCTTAAAACAACTATAATTGAAACGAAGTATCGAAATGCGGAATAAAAAAAACAATTATAAAATCGATATTACATCGATTCTGAAAATTTGGAGAACCGAAACCGAAACCTATGAACTTATTGTTACATCCTGTATTGCGGGTCTTGCCTTTATTCAAAGTGCTTAAGCACACCTTGATCTAACTATCTACCT